GTTTCGTGTACCCTTATGAGAAAGATTGGACACATGACGGGTAATAGTGTCAAGGCACTTAGAAGTTTGAAAACTTAAGTGTATATTATCTTCGAATATTCATATGATTCAATGGGTTCAATCGTTAACGACACCCTTTGTATTCGAGTATTTGTCAAGTGTAATATACTAAGATGGAAATTCAATCGTCACGACATTTTCATTTATGTTTAAGTTTTGTTGGAAGAATGTTGTGATTTTAGTGAATTCTTTGAATACACTAAAATGGGGGAGGAATGTTGGAAATTTGGTTGAACCGGACTAACCAAATCAAACCAGTTTTTGGGTTGGACCAACCAACCAGTTTGGGAATAGACCGATCGAACCAATATTTTAATTTCATGAAGGGACACATCCCTTTGGCCTAGTGGCGGTTGTATTATTTTATGGATAAGGATGGTCTTATGGATAAGGACAACCTTATGGATAGAGTCAACCCTTCATATGGATAAGGATAACCTTTCATATGGATAAAGGCAACCTTTCGTATGGATAAAGACAACCGTTTTTGAAACAAAGCATGGATTCGGCCCCTATAAATATATGTGTGGGGTGGATGGTGCGAAATACCATCAAACAGATTCTTCTTCTTTCTTCCAAAAATTTCAAAGTAGGCTTTAGAGTTGTTGAGCCTAGAACCTAAAGTGGCGATAGTTTTATCCTCGGGAGAAATTTCCTGTAACCCAAGGCTTTATAGAGGGTGAAAATATTCTTTTCGGAAAGTGAACGTAGTTCACGACTCTATCATAATCCTGGTCACCCGATCTCGAGCTATCTTACGTATACCCTCGTTACTAAAAGTTCCAACACAGTGGAGGTCTGGAGGAAATTAAAAATGAAATCTGGTGATTACACGGTGAAGAGGATTGGTTGGGTGTAATTTATAGGTTGGAATTCGTAATTATATTGCATATCATGACACCTATTGGTAGGGCGAACCCAGGGACACCCCTAAATTTTGAAAAAGCCCCGGTGGTTATTTACGTATGGACCAAAAAAAAATTTAATAGTTCAAGTCACCCCGAAATTTGAAAAAAACGATTATCATACTCTCGTTTGTAGTTTGCATATTAGAATATAAGTAGTAGTTTGGGTAATTCAAATCTGGGACACTACTATTATTAATAAATATAATTTTCATTAAGCTAAACTTTTTTGATGTTCTATTCTAAGCATTGTGAAATGGCAAAATTCCATTCTCTAACTTTAATTATTTTCAAAACCTAACAATTAATCTAATTACAAGCTATCCTTAATTCGTATTGATTTTTTGGTTGTACGACAAGTGTTGAAAGTGTTTATTCAGCTTTGAGTTACATCAATAACAAATTTAGAAGTCGTATATGCGTAGTTCGTCAATGCTTGTCTAGTAGGATATACTAAGACAAATTTGTTGAGCAATGTAAACACCAAATGTATTTAATAATTTCTTCATAATATGAAAATACATCATGGACTTTTTTTAACTTCTAAGAGTTGGGTATTTTTTTAATAATTATTTATATATTTTTAAGAGGACACCCCTATGTAAAATTCTTGGGCCGCCACTGCCTATTGGTTACCGTGATTCAATTTACAGTAGTGTGGGGTGGGATATGGATACTAGGCTAGTTTGGCTCAGTTGTAGTTTTTGTAGAAGCAGTTTCTTGCCGGAGCTTTTAGAGAATTACTTAAAAAAAAAACAGTTGAGTGTTTGGCTGAAAAACTATTATATGTGCTTTTTAATATGAGAAGTTGTGTAAAATGACTATAAATTAATTATAATATAAATATGAATAAAAATTCTAAACAATAAAAAGTAGTCAAAATGGATCTTCTTAGATTTTTTTAATGTTAAATAATATAATTTTTTATTTTTTATTTTTAAAATGAAATAAAATTATATTTTCGAAATAAAATTAAAATATGATAAGATAATCTTGTATTTTCAAAAAACTTTTCGCAGAAGCTCCAAATCGGAGCTTCTGCTTTTATGTTATACAAAAGCGCTTTTCAGCTTTTCCAAAGTCGAGCTTTTAGAGGTGTTTGGCCCTACTTCATCTTTTGAAGACGAAAAACACTTCTAAAAGGCGGGTCAAATATAGGCACTATTTTTTACTGACATCATCTGACTTAATCTACGTTTTGGTCCAACCGATATTGTTTTACTTTAATATCTATTTATATTTATTATATTTTGATTTTTTTTCAATCATATTTTCACCCAATGAAACTTTGAATAGGTGCAAGACTTGATTGTTCCACTAATAACACTCAATTAATCATTTTGTTATCCCTATTTTTATCCATAAAGTGTTTTTACTTTGTTTTATCATAAAAGTTAAAATTTTGTATTTATATGCTTCAAATAACATAGTGAAATGGGTCGACATGTTATGATTTGTACCGCAAGCATTACCTAACTGATCCGTGTTTGATAAGTGATGGATATGCGTATTGACTATTGAGATACTCGCCTCACCCCATTGCCATTACTAACTATAGCTAGATCCGAGTGCACATCTCAATGTTTCCAACAATAAGAAGATTTGGATTTTTCTTAGGGTTAATAACATATATGAAGAGGGTTGTTTGTTTGTTAATTCGTTTTCATGGTTTGTGAAAATAAAGGTCTAGTCTCTACCTTCGATGTTTGGCCATCAAAGTTTGATGGGTGGCCACCAAGTGGGTAGAATAGAGACCCTAAACTAGACCACACATGTGCAGTGCAATTTGATTTTGTACGGTCCGTACCAAGCATACCATGTTCATCAAAACCTGTACTGTCCAACAAATTAATACTAGCTTGTAACTAACCAAGAAAACCACTTGGTATACCATCATCACCAACAACAAAGTTCAAAAGTTAGCATAACATAACAACTAACAAACTAACTTCCAAGTTACCAACCGACAACTTCAAGTCTACAATACTCATCATCCTCGTAATCCTCCCCTCCCTCCTCCAAATGATAGATTGAACTCGATCTAAGCCAATCCTCACTACATATCAGTTCTTTGACAGTTTGAGGGTGTAAAGCACTCCTAAAGTCAGGGGGTCGTTTGGATGGATCAATCTAGAAATGAGTCAATTTGATCAATTGTCTCGTTTTATAAACGAGGCAATTAAAACGAGTCAATTCGAATTACCTGCCCCACCCCAGGTAATTGGAATTGACTCAAAACGGATCAATTCAAAATACCTCAGGCAGATTGATCCATCCAAATTTTTTGCTGGCAAACGAGGCAATTTGGTACAATTGTCTCAAAACGAGACAATTGTGTCAAATTGATTCGTTACAATTCCTCATCCAAAAGACCCCAAGACTTCCCCCACTAGTACTAAAGGCCAACTCTGAAGGCACTGTAGGCATTGAGATGTTAAAGACATCATTGTCCATCCCAGATAAGAAAGGATACCACGTATGATGTGTCATCGACCACTTCAACCCATCTAACTCAAGTTGGGTTCCTCCAACACCATCTTCATAACGATGAGACAGGTATATTTCAAGCTCATATTTGAATTCAGAAAGTTCAGGTGGTATGAATTTCGAATCAAATACAAGATAACATTCTTCATAATCTCTAAATTTGTGATTGTGGTGGCGGAGTTTGCCACACCCTTCTTTCATAATATCCAAACAATTCAACAAGTTCAAAATCCATTTCTTTTATTGATTCATTTCCCCTTGTATCCCCATACAACTTCTTCAAAACATGTTGTGGATAGCCCATATTGAACCCCAAATCAAGCACAAAAACTATGTAAACCAACTTATTCAATCTAAGGTTAATACAATTAGAATGTTCTGGGATCCCAATTTCTTCATTTTTGTACTTTTGGGCTTTCAAGCCAGGTACGTATCCTTATCTTTCCCCACAAAAGCATGGAAAGCTTCATCATAAGGAACTACTGCTAATAACATGAAAATGCCAAATTCCATTTAGTTGACATATCTGAACACACTAAAAAAAATTCCAATCTAGTAGGTGAAGATCATACTCGTTTTACTACCTTTCTCACCCTTCTAACATATATGCTCATATCCTTCAAAGCACCAGACACAATTAGATTAGTACAATGAGCAAAATATCGCATGCGTAGGTACTTTCCACCTCCAAACTTTGTACCCCACCCCTCAAACTTGTTCCTCAAACAATTGTTTGCAATGTCATTGGATGTATCATTGTCAATTATGACTGAAAAGATGTTCTTCATATCCAACCTCTCTAAATAACACGAAAGTGCCTTCCCAACATCTTTCCTCTCGTGACTTGTAATCTTACAGATTTTGATGAACAAAGTCATGAGGGAAAGAAGACTTCTACATGGTCTCTGGTGTTGGATGGTTGTGAGGGAAAGAAGATTCTTTGATTTAGGGGGGAGGTGTTGATTGAATTGAGAGATGAATGTCGAGAGTGAGTGGAGGGTCTATTTCGTGGCCTGGGATGTGGGGTGGCAAGAGAACGATTAATTAACCACAGTTTATACTAAACTAGATCGTCCAAGACAACAGACTACATGGGAGATAACCCACCAAATCAAATTATGGTTATGTTCTCACGGTCTGGACCAAACCGTTCGGTTCGATCTAAATCGTGATTTCTCTTATGATTTGGTCCAGATTCCCGGTCCAATTCCCGACTTTATGAGATTTACGTTGTCGATTCGACAAAGATCATATGTAAATTGAACTTTTGGAGGCCAAGTCTCCACCTCACCTTTTGTTTTTTCCCCAACATTACCTTGTACCATATTTACTTTTCATCATCGAGTTAGTTTTATTTTTTTTCACTTCCCATCATTTTCCTATTTCACGCCCATATCCTTGCCAACCATTAAATCCAAATCTGGCCATCCGATGGCTGTCGATGCAGCCAACACGTCCTGAAGAATCGGCTTCTTCCAATTGAAAAATCAATCAAATCAGAGGCCGCGGGAGCTCCGTATAAAAATAGAAGGCAGCCAAGCCAAGCACAGTGCACACACACCATATATATACAAATAAATACACACCCACACTTTCCCCTTTCCTCCTGTCATTTTTCGAAATCCCAACCGGCCACCACTTCCTCCCGTCAAATCGCAGAGCATAAACAACCCTCGTCGCTCGCTCCCCTTCCTCAGGTGAATTCCCCTCTCACCATTCCCTCTTTCAATTCTCCGGTTATCTTTCCCGTGGTCTTGTTTGGTTCCCGGGAAAATCGAATTGTTCGCCGTTTTATTGACCTGCATTGTCTCGTATCGGAATGAATCGAAGCGCAGATCTGGATTTGTTTAGCTAAGGGCTGTGGCAATCAATTTCGTTGGTTTTGATCTGTTGATATTGAGCGATGTGTTTGTTCCTGCTCTTGATTTTTAGCTGAACGGTGAGTGATATATGGTCCCCTGTAACCCTAAGAGCAATAAAAAAGGGGAAATCGGCGAATCTTATGGTTCAACCCTGGGATATCCTTTAGATATTAAAAAAGACTACCTTCCAATGCTCCTTCTTTAATCGCACTGCAATGCAACGCGGGCTATAGATCTAGATTGCGACTGAATCAACTTTGTGCTTGGGTATGGAATCAGATTTCTATATCTGGATCTTGCCCCCGTGTTGGACTCACCCGGGTACTGAAAAAGGACTGGTTATTTCAATCCAGCTCTTGAAATTTCCAACCCTTGAGCAGCCTAGAGTGGTGAGTTAGCCCTTGTATAATGGAAACTGTTTAACAAAGTATTTTTAACATTCCTGGCCCAAATGTGGTCTGTTAAAATTTTATGCGATTGTTCTTGTCCCTTTTCGAGTCTGCGTGCTCGGGTTTTTATACATTGTGGAGGTTGATAGTATAGGTTATCTTCTTTTGCACGAGCGACTGTAACATCCGATTAAGATTTCCGGATCCGATCTAGTAATTTAGCCAGTTATGTCTCAAAAACAATGCTGACATGGATTCTATCTTTGATTCTGAGCTTTTGTGTTTCATGTCTCACTTATTTAGTTAGAAAGCATCTGCCAAGTTTATGAGGCTTTCTAGGTGGAGTAATATACATGGTTCAGCAGTGAGGATGTCCTTTGGTCTTATAATTTGCAAATCTATAGCCGCTTTTATTATTCTGTAAACCAATAATTTAGCTGCATGATTGCAGCTATGTTTAGTGTGTTTGAAATAATGAGCTTATGTTATTTTGGCTCCTGCTCTCTCACTTTTCTCATGCATGCCGTCTTTTCCTATTCTGTTGCTCTATTTCTGATGCTGGTATTCTATGTCAGCTTATAGAAGATGGCAGAAGGTGAGGATATCCAGCCACTCGTCTGCGACAATGGAACTGGAATGGTCAAGGTACTGTATTTTAAATTTTAGAAGGATTTTCTTTTGAGATTGCTATCTTGAGGATGTCAAGCAGTGGTGGTGTTTGCTGATACATTTTGTCGCATTCTAGGCCGGGTTTGCTGGTGATGATGCTCCTAGGGCTGTGTTCCCTAGCATTGTGGGTCGTCCACGGCACACTGGGGTGATGGTTGGAATGGGGCAGAAGGATGCCTATGTCGGGGATGAAGCTCAGTCCAAGAGAGGTATTTTGACCTTGAAATACCCCATTGAGCATGGTATAGTTAGTAACTGGGATGATATGGAGAAGATCTGGCATCACACTTTCTACAATGAACTTCGAGTTGCCCCAGAAGAACACCCTGTACTGCTTACTGAAGCACCTCTGAACCCAAAGGCCAATCGTGAGAAGATGACCCAAATTATGTTTGAGACCTTCAACACTCCTGCTATGTATGTTGCTATTCAGGCTGTCCTCTCTCTTTATGCCAGTGGCCGTACAACTGGTGAGTTGTCCTAAATCAGCATGTTCAATTGAATTTACTGTTGTGTTCCATATGATGGCCAATGAGACTATAGGAATTAGTTTGATTAAATGTGATGACCACATACCTTTATGAAGTAACAAAGCTGACTATGATTGTCCATTTTAGTGCTCTACCAATCGAAGATGTCTAGATTGTCAAGGTAGAAAGTGATTTGTTTTTTTAACATAGGTAAGGTGAATTAAAATGTACATAAAGCTGTCTTTTTCGGGAATGAATAGAGGTGTAATAACTATGAAAGTCCATGCTTCTCTGCAAATAAGCACATTACTTCAAGCTGCTGGCTTGCTGGTATTAACAAGTGGTTATTGGGGGGTTTGACCTTTACAATCTTGTTACCTTCCTGTGTGCAGGTATCGTTCTGGACTCTGGTGATGGTGTCAGCCATACCGTCCCTATCTATGAGGGATATGCACTCCCTCATGCCATCCTTCGTCTCGACCTGGCTGGCCGTGACCTGACTGATGCTCTCATGAAAATCTTGACCGAGCGTGGCTATTCCTTCACCACCACAGCTGAGCGGGAAATTGTGAGGGATATGAAGGAGAAGCTGGCATACATAGCCCTTGACTATGAGCAGGAGCTGGAAACTTCAAAGACCAGCTCCTCTGTTGAGAAGAGCTATGAGCTTCCTGATGGACAAGTGATTACTATCGGTGCTGAACGTTTCAGATGCCCTGAAGTCCTATTCCAGCCCTCAATGATCGGGATGGAAGCTGCTGGGATTCACGAGACTACATACAACTCTATCATGAAGTGCGACGTGGATATCAGAAAAGATTTGTACGGCAACATTGTTCTTAGTGGTGGATCTACCATGTTCCCAGGTATTGCTGACAGGATGAGCAAGGAAATCACTGCTTTGGCTCCCAGCAGCATGAAGATCAAGGTGGTTGCCCCACCTGAGAGGAAATACAGTGTCTGGATCGGAGGCTCCATCTTGGCATCTCTCAGCACTTTCCAGCAGGTTCGTCTTATAATACTGATGATATCGTTGTAGCAAAGAAGCAACAGCTAATGAAGTAATGATATGTGGAGTGTAATAACTGATATGTGATATTATTCAACTGAATACAGATGTGGATCGCCAAGGCAGAGTACGATGAGTCTGGCCCCTCCATCGTCCACAGGAAGTGCTTCTAAGTCATGCTGTGCTGGTGCGGTTGTCGTCGTTCTTTTTCTTCTTGTGGTGGAGCAGTTGCATCTTGCAAGAATGTCCTCTTTCTATGTTAGCTTATTTTTTTTGTTTCTTTTTTTCTTTCCCCTCTTCCAAATTCATTCGGCTATGCACTAAGAACGAATGAAGTGACATATTGTCATTCCCGTTAGCAGTTTTCTTAATGCAAGTTATGCGATCTCGTATTATGATAGTTAAATCTGAACTATATATATATGTTTATTCATTGGAAGGGTTGAGTTTGTGATTTGCTAGCTAGCGTTTGCAAACCCATGCTAAATTCCATACCATCTCTGAGTTCTAGGTGATGTTTTGTCTCAACTTTGACCTCTTGGCCTTTCCAAAACCATTACTAAGCCAAATGATCGGTCAATTTTGTGTCTGTTGTTTAGAGTTAGTTAACATACACGAATAATTCATTTAATCACGAATATGGATTTCCTAAAAAATCTTACAATTTTATTTTAAGTCGACTGCTTCAGTGGTTATCTGAAACTGACACAATTTCAATTAATATTGTTTCACTTCAATCGATTTGATTAAGTGAACTAGCACAAATGCTATTTAACATACACAAATCACATAAAATAACATATACAAAACACATGATTTTTTGGAGCGGGAAACAAGCAGACTTTATTATAGAATTCTTTTTAAAAACAATCTGTTACCCTAAATGGATTACGGGTCTGTAACGCAACTCCCCCAACTCCAAAGATAACAAACACCCTAGCAAGTAAGGAAGATGACCTCTGGTCCCTTCTTAGATTCACACTTCCTCTGGTTCATGCTAGGAGCACATCTCGCTCCTCCAGAAAAGAAGTTTCTTCGCTCCAATCCATGCTAAGGCTGCTCCAAGCCAATGTAGAGCAAGAGCACACAGGTAGAATATGATAAATTGATTGGTGAATTGATAAATTCATAAATTGGTAAATTTATACATTGGATTTGGTTTGGATTTATAGATCCAAGTGAACTCCAAATATTGGATCATTTTTTAAATTTTGATATTTAAGTGGTACAATAAAAAATGTATTCAACTAATTTATAGGACATTGCTATTCGTCATCCTAAAATTTCTTATTCGTCGCCCTAATTTAATTAAATTTATTTTAATGCCCTTATTTCATTTATTTGTTTTTCAAACATTTAAACCAAAAACAAACCCAGTACATCAAATAACAAATACAATCAAAGAAACAACAACAAAACAAAAGAAGAAACATAAACATAGGGTGTGGATCCGAGTACTGGAAGCTGGTTTGTGTAAGACACTGACACGATGCTTTTGCTGCAAAACCCTGATGGCAATCAATATATTTATAAGTATACGCACAAATGGTAACAATAAACATATACATGAAAGCTATTTTTTGTGTCCTTGTTGCTGGTCGACGCCAACAGGAGCAGTGTGGCCTTCTTCTTCGTTCTTCTTCCGCCTACTTGGGAGGAGCTCCACCAGCGATAACAGAACAGAGGAGGTGGGCGGCACTGAAGATAGGAATCCGGTGTAAGCCCAATTCCCGTACTTAGAATTTCTTGGCCGTCATAGAAATCTCTAAACCTAAAACCTAAAGGGGTCAAGAGGGAGAAACTCAATTCCGGTGATTACTACTCAAGCTGCCGCCGCCGCTCTCGTCATGGATCGAGGTAGTTTTCCTTGATCTATTACCAATTCGTGAAATCATCTAATTCTAAGATCCATGCTATTATGATCTATGTTTACATGTGGTATCAGAGCCTTAGGTTTACATGAATAGATGATTTTCGCTTACGTATTTTATTTCCGCTGCATCTGTGCGCCAAGCTCTGCGTATGAGAGCCATTATGCTTCGGCTGTAGGGTTTCCAATTGTCAATTCGCCATTATGCTTCGGCTGTAGGGTTTAGGTTTCCAATCTTCCTTTTCCTTTTATTTGTACCTTTTGTCCAGGCACCTGTTTGTCAATTTCCAATTCATCTGCTTTGTCAATTTTATTGATTAAGCTACTGTTTGTACCTTTTGTATCGAGGGGATGAACAATTTGTATTTTATCGATTAAGCTACTGTTTGTCAATTTCCAATTCATTTGCTTTGTTGTTTATTGACAAGGTCTTGCTTCTGTGGGTGCAATTATATATGCTTGATCAAATTCCATGAGTTCTTTCTTGTTGCTATCTATTGGCTTCGGCTATAATATGTTTGAGTTTCCTTGATAATGAATTTGATCAGTAGGCTTAATGGTTGATCAGTTAAGCAATTATTATAATAGTAACCTATTAATGAGTCAAGTTTTGCGTATGTGTATTTGAGAACTATGATTAACAATTGCTTTGACTTGAGTTAAATTTTATCTTTGATATCTATGTTATGATTAATTTGTTAGTCACCAAAGTGACCAAATTAAAAGGTTTATAGATATCAAGTTGAATCAAGTTTAACTACTAATGTTTATGTGATGCTTTAAAGTTGAAGTTCGTGATTATAAAATATTTTGAATCGCCCAAAGGTTGATTGCTCGTTTTATAACTCATGAACATTATCGTGGTAAATTGATGTGCTTGGTTAGATATATTTAGTATATCCAAAGGTTGCAAGTATATCTAATTTGAGTATGTCTATCACCAATCATATGATTATTTTGAGCATCAATTACGATTATTTATCGCATATATATTGTTGTTTTGCCCAAAGGTAGCACCAATATATATTGTATGTTTATGCTTCCAAATATGTATTATAGTTTATGCTTATTACCCAAAGCATTAATGTGTGAGTACATGTTATATATGTTTGCAGCATCTGTTCCTGTTTCTCTTCATTCGCAAGCCACGTCTGTTGTTAAGTTTAATGGCCTCAACTTCTCTGAATGGGCTGAACAGGTTCAGTTTCACCTCGGTGTTCTGGATCTTGATTTGGCACTCTTAAGTGAGAAACCTGCTGCTCTTACTGATGCTAGCAGTGCTGAGGAGAAGTCTTTCCATAAAGCTTGGGAAAGATCTAACAGACTAAGCCTAATGTTTATGCGAATGACTGTAGCAAACAACATTAAGTCAACTTTCAATGATACTGAAAGTGCTAAGGAATTTATGAATTCCGTGAAAGAAAGCTCTGAATGTGAGTCTGCTGATAAGTCACTTGCTGGGATACTGATGGGTACGCTAACCACCATGAAGTTTGATGGTTCTCGTACCATGCATGAGCATATCGTCGAAATGACGAACATTGCAGCAAGACTAAAGACCATGGGAATGGAAGTGAATGAAAATTTCCTAGTAATGTTCATCCTTAATTCCTCACCTCCAGAGTATGGCACATTCCATGTGCATTACAATACTCTAAAGGATAAATGGAATGTGCATGAGTTACAAAGTATGCTCATTCAAGAGGAAGCAAGACTTAAGAAACCAGGAAATCATTCTGCCAATCTTGTTGGTCATAAAGGAGCTGGAATGAAACCATGAAACAAGAATGGGAAGGGCAAGGAAGGACTATCAAAGCTTAATGAGTCATCTACCAAAATCCACAAGAAGGAACCAAGTAAGGATATGTGCCGCTTTTGTAAGAAAGTCGGACATTATCAGAAAGATTGTTTGAAAAGAAAGGCATGGTTCGAAAAAAGGGTAAGCCTAGTGCTTTAGTATGTTTCGAATCAAATTTAACTGAGGTTCCTTATAATACTTGGTGGGTTGACACTGGTTGTACCATTCATGTTTCCAAAACGATGCAGGGATTCCTTACGACCCAAACCATAAGGCAAAAATGAGAAGTTCATCTATATGGGAAACCGAGCCAAAGTTCCAGTTGAAGCTATTGGGACTTATCGTTTGGTCTTAGATACAGGTCATCATTTGGACCTTGTCAATACCCTTTATGCTCCTTCTATTTCTCGTAATTTGGTTTCGGTGTCTCAACTAGATAAGGCTGGGTATTTTTGGAACATTGGAAATGGTTCTATTAGTTTGTTCAAACAGAATTTTTATTGGGTTCTGGTACCCTTGTTGATGGTTTGTACAAACTAAAGCTTGATACCCTATTCGCTGAGACTCTCTTAACCTTGCATCATAATGTTGGTATTAAACGTGGTTTGTTTGATGAATCCTCTGCTTACTTGTGGCATAAACGTTTGGGTCACATATCCAAAGAAAGAATGGAAAGGCTAGTAAAGAATGAGATCCTTCCTAATTTGGATTTTACTGACCTTGGGATTTGTGTTGAGTGTATTAAAGGAAAACACACAAAACACACACTTAAGAAAGAAGCCACAAGAAGCTCACAACTTCTTGAAATTATACACACTGATATTTGTGGGCCTTTTGATGTTCCATCTTTTGGTGGAGAAAAGTATTTCATTACCTTTATCGATGATTTTTCACGTTATGGATATATCTATTTGCTGCATGAAAAATCTCAGTCGGTAGATACCCGTGAGGTGTTTATCAATGAAGTTGAGAGGCAATTAGAAAGAAAGGTGAAAATTGTCAGATCTGATAGAGGTGGAGAATATTATGGAAAATATGATGAAAGTGGACAGTGCCCTGGTCCATTTGCTAAGTTCCTAGAAAGACGTGGTATTTGTGCTCAATACACTATGCCAGGAACATCGCAACAAAATGGTGTTGCAGAAAGGCGGAATCGTACTATAATGGATATGGTTAGGAGCATGTTAAGCAACTCATCTTTACCCAAATCATTGTGGATGCACGCTTTAAGGACCGCTATGTATTTGTTAAACAGGGTTCCTAGTAAAGCAGTTCCTAAGACACCTTTTGAACTGTGGAAGTGAGAATATATAATCCACATGAAAAGAAACTGGACTCACGAACAATCAGTGGTTTCTTCATTGGTTATCCAGAAAAATCTAAGGGGTATCGATTTTATTGCCCTAATCATAGTGCGAGAATTGTTGAAACCGGAAATGCTAAGTTCATTGAGAATGGTGAAGTTAGTGGGAGCTTAGAGCCACGCAATGTGGAAATTCAAGAAGTTAGAGTGAAAATATCTTTACCTCTACCCTCTTCTCAAGTTGTTGCTCCTGCACATGTTGAGCATGATAACGATTTGCAGGAACAACAAATGAACGGTCAAGCACCACCTAATATTGCAATTGAGAATGAACCTAACATAGATGAACCACAAGAAATCGCATTAAGAAGGTCTACAAGAAATCGAAGGCCTGCAATTTCTGATGATTATGAGGTTTATCTTCACGAGTTAGAATCTGATTTAGGACTCTATCATGATCCAGTTTCATTTTCACAAGCCATGGAAAGTGAGCATTCTGATAAATGGTTAGCTGCCGCGGAAGAAGAGATGAAATATATGTATAAAAATGAAGTTTGGGACCTTGTTGATTTGCCTGAAGGTTGTAAAAGAGTTGGTAATAAATGGGTCTGGAAGACCAAACACGACTCTAATGGCAATATCAAAAGACACAGGGCCAGACTTGTT